TTCTAGAATTACCTCGTCCTTTGCCTATAAACTTCTCCTGATTTTGACAATTCCAAGGAAATATTTTATTTTGGTTCTTGATGTCTTCACTACAGAAACAAAATAATAAGTTCAAGATTTAAAATCTTGTTCACTGTCAAGTGAGACAGGGATTAAAACCCTTTAAGATCGAATCGTACAAATTTGTACGATCTGATATGGCCCACAGTCATTTGACCAGCAGTTTCCTCAAACTTAGCTTCCAGACCCTGTACCGCCATCGAAATGATCCCCACCATCAAAATGATCTCCGCCACCGAAATGATACCTATTTGCAATTGAAATGATCCCGTCATAAATTTTAGGAACCTTGGCTTAAATGGACTTCGGACTTTGCTATCTATTCTAAATTCTTCGTTTACTCATGCAAACACGATTCTAAACAGCAGAAAATAGAGAACGCAATTAGACTGATAACAGTTGTATAAACTGATTTTAGTTTCAAAATTTTAACATTTTTTTAAGGAAATACATAAATCCGCCTTGAACAGGGAACAGGTTTATCATATAACGTGATAACAAGCAGATTATAACTAGTTTTGCGTTAAAAACTTGACAGTGTTAGAGCATTCTGCCGGGCTATAAAATGTCAGCACATTTTGTCACACTATTCTTTTATGTCAGAAAGAAATTCACAAATATAAATGTCGGCTCACTCCATGACAGGGTGAGTTTCCATGTAGTGGCAAAGGTCGCACACAGTCTGGTCAGGAGCAGAAAAATAATTGTGAATAACAGAATAATTTTCATGATGTTAATGATTTGACATGACAGCTACAGCAGCTAGTGCAAGTACCGAAATTAATTGGAAAGCACGTGTTGTAGTGTGAGCCTGTAACTGACGTCATCACTGTCGTCATGACATCATCAAGAAGACATAACCTGATTGCTACATTTGACTTATTTTGCTTAAACAATTTTATTAAAAAGATTTTCTTGCAAAAATATAAAAAAAAATTAGAAGAAATAGAAGACATAAGTGAATTGCATCTTTTGAACAAGTATTGTCTAGTGTCAGGAGCCCTACTGCTAGTGTTAAACCAAAAAAAAAACAATTTACTGCAAAATAAAGTGCGTTAAAAGGTAAATTACACACCGTAAAAAAGATGCAATATAAATAAATAAAAAGCACGCACTAAATTGTTGTCCAGTTTTTGTAGTCCTCTTAATTCCATTCCCGATATTCCGGGGATCATTTCGGTGGTGACCGCCGGTATCATTTCGGTGGTGGGGATCATTTGGGTGGTGATTGGGGGTCATTTCGGTGGCGGAGATCATTTCGATGGTGCGGATCATTTCGGTGGCGGTACAGATCCCCCTTCTTTGCAACGCCTAGTGGATTGTTTTGTTCGCCATTTTGAGTTGTTTTGAACCAGTTTCTGCGACATTTTCGATTTGTTAGAGCAAGAGTAAGCTTAATTTTAGTTCTGCAACATGTCTGAGCATAGGACACGTTATAATTTGAAAGATTTTTTGATTATTTTGGATGGAAACTTCAAGATACCGATCGTGGCGTGTTTTGGATATCGAAGGCTTTGATATGAACACCAAAGAAGATAGCAAGGATGGAGTAATGAAATTTTTTCAAACCAGGGAGAAGAAGAAGAGGAAAAACTCAGTCTTCGGGACATACACATTGATGATTTCAACCGTGATAAAGATTTTTTTCATCCTGGAAGGCCACAAAACATTTGTTTGGATGTTTATGTTTAGCTCCTGGAAGAAAGCGATCGAGAAGTTCTCACTTTCAATTAATAAGGTTCGGCCTACGAGGGTGTAACACCCAACCATGCTGTATTTTGTGGACAGAATATAACCTTGATAGTATCAAAGGTAGGCAAATGTGGTATGAAAATAATCCTCAGTAAATTTACTTTAGATTTAGACTCTAGCAGTAATTTTCATGACCAAATTGGAAGGTCAGTACACTGAAAACAACTAAGGTGAACCTGTTGGGTGACATGAACTTAATATTTAACAACCTGTTAATTATTATTTATTAGTTACTTATTAATAAAAAGTGGCTTGGCAGATTATGAGATAACCCAAAGTCTTGTCTACCAGATATCCAAAGTTTATGTTGATACCTTAAATTTTAAGGAAGATTCAGTGCCTTTAACAATACCAGCCTTAGATCTTAAAATGTGCAAAAAATAAATTCAGGTCTTAAAGGGTTTTAAAACATACATTTTATGATGTCTGGGCAGTATGTTTACAAAATAATGATGTATAGTGGTAACCAAAGGTGACAGAGTGTGGGCAACAATGATCGAAGGTCAAAACGCTTTTGCTCCAACGCTGTACTTTACATAAGTTTCACGTGACAGATGGTCAAAACACGCATGATCAGAATACGAGTGATAGAAGGTCCAAATGTGCATGATCAAATTGCGTTACGTGCTTTCTATTCATTCTTAGTGGAAGTCTAAATGAATGCTGGCTACATACATGCGATGCATGCATAATAATAACCTTAAGATTGGGATTGCAGGCTCCTCTTGTTGCCCACAAAAACAACAGAGTTATACATGTATGTACACATAGCTAGTTCGTATCAACTCCTGTGTTTAGTGAAATAATATTACAGTGTTTGTATAGCCTGCATGCAGATGTTTCCTTTATTGCCTTTATTGCTCGCAGGCAACAAAGGAAATAGAATACGTCTGTGTGCAAGCTATTTCTCAAGAGATAAAGTTGTTTCATGAACCTACTATGAATCCTCAATAAGAAAGCGAACGGTCAAAATTGCTTTTGGTGATGCTGTTTCATTTGCCATGTTCCTTTCCACAACCTTAATCAACATTACAAAAACAATAAACATTAATAAAGGTCAACTGCAGATGTGTGGCTAGCTAGATAGATAGTCAGAGTAAATAGGATACTGAACTTCAAATCCCAGTACTTTCACAAAATAATAACTACCCTTGAGTTTGTTTCGCAGTAGATGAAACGTAACTTCTCAGCCACATGTAGCAAATAAGGACCTGGGTACCCTGGCCTACATACAGTACAGGGCCTAAATGTATACTGAATTTTAAGTTAATTTACCCTTTGACTAATTGAATTCATTCAATTTTTTCCTTTGATTCTCATTTATGTGTAGAAATCCCAATAACCTTTCTTCGGCTAGTTTTGCAGCCTTATGTCTCAGCTGGGACAAAGAGGATGAGCGAGAGTCAGTTTGTTCTCTAGTTTTGGTTCTATCTTGGAGAAAAACAAGGTCACAAAGTTGGTTCAGTATTGTTTGTAAAAGAGGGTGAATATACCATGATTGTAGTGTTCAGTGTTCATTTCACAGTCTAGAGAGACAAAAGTTATTTGCTTTTCTCTGATTTACAACTTACACACAGACTCTTTGGTTGTTTTGCCAATGAGCTGCTTCGCTAACATCCTGTTCACTAACATCTTACGTTGATTTTTGTGTTAGCTCAATTCACTAGCGTTGTGATAATTCACTTTATTATATAGATACTGATGAAATACCAGGATTTTTCCTTTTACTAAAAAAATCATATCTTCATCGCACTCAGTGAAGATACTATTTTTATCTTTGACGTGAGAGGATATTGGTGTCGCCATGGTTACTACCATGATTAGCCAAAATTTTTCTCTTCTTCATTAGAATTTTGACTTTTTGGAACAGAAAATATAAGTATTATTGTCTTTATTTCTCCTTTATAACTTTATATCCGAGTTTCATAACATTTTTGTGACAGGCATTTTGCAATAGGTGACCACTTTAATAAATTGCAATATTTTGCTGTTTCGAAAATGAATAAAAACAAAGTTGTGTTTTATATAAGAATTTCATCAGTATCTATAAAATAAACAGAACATTACATGGCCACTTGGTGATACGCAGTCTATCTTCTTGTGCTGAAAGTATCTCTCACTCGTTCACTTTGCTCACTCGTGAGAGATTCTTTCAGCACTCGAAGATAAAATTTGTATCCCCGTGCGGCCATGTAATATCCTCTATAACATCTTCGCAAACGTTATATCAAACATCTTGTTAGTCAGTTCTTGGAAATAAAAAAATTTCCTCTGTGGAATAAGATTCTTACTTGATAAGAATTACATCCTGAATGATAATAGATAACACCGTGAGCAGGAATTGATAGGCGCTATGTCAATATTAATATTATTATTTTTAAGACAATGTTTATTCACGGCTTTATTATTGGTGCTACAGCACGGCATTTGTATTGTTAAGAATAAACAAGGAGGTTTTGCTCCTGTTAGTTTTCACAAAATAATCAGTGTTATCAAAACAATTTAGCAAACAGGAAGTTACCAAAATGACTCATTGGCAAACTGGATTTTCTACAATACGATACACTAACTCAAGCAAAAAAATCCTTGAAGGTCGCACACAAACATCCATGCAATAGTTGCACATCTGTATACCCATCTGCAGCTGCATAGCCATTAATTTTTGCTGGACATCAAATAATAAAGCTTATAATCATGCAGAAGGTATTGTCTTTCCCTTTGTAGTCTGACCTCGATTTGTTCTATTGCTTTTGGTGAGGTTTAAAAATGCCTGCATATTAATATTACACATGTGTAACATATTTCTTCCTTGTTTTTTGAATTAGTTTCGAGCTTAGACTTTCAGAAAATAACCCAAACATAGGTTATTCTTTCATAAACAAAGGACCCAAGCGACAACAAACTGATTCCAACTTCATTCATGCATGTAAGCTTATAGTTTGCAACCTCAATTTGTTGTCTTCTCGACGCTAAATTAATGTGATGCTCGAAACCGAACCTTCTGTCAGTTCTTATTGGCTTCCCTTTTAAGAATAAGCTCACAAAATTTGGGACACGGGATAGTTATGATAAATCTACGAGCTGCTGTACTTTGTGTCATGTGGGAGCTTTGGATGGAAGATTCCTTTCTTGTCACAGGACGATATATGTATCTGAACAGACAGACAAGGAATTTACAGATCTTCAAACTTACCTGGCCAGGCCAGAAAATGTCTCTCTTGGCACTGGCCCAAACTACTGAATCCACATTTAACTGATCCATGAGGAGGAAAGAGAAGACAATGAGAATCTAACCAAAGTCAAGCTGTTCTCGAGTCCATTTCACTTCAAAGATCGTCCCGACGCGCGAAGAACTCTGTTACTTTCACTAACCAATAAATTCGCTAGTTCCAGGTCCTCGCGCGATCAGATAACGCCTGGGAAGATTTTTCTCCTTAACAAAAATTTGAATGAAGTCAGAAATTGTTCGAATTTCACGGGATAAAACAATTGTGTTATAAGAATCAAATGCCTTGTATTCGTATCAAAGAAGTTTATCAGACTACCAAGCATGTTATTGAAGGGATTGAACTAAACTGCAGAGTGGAAGAATTAAAGAAAATCGCCGCAGAGAAAACCAATATACCAGTTGAGGACCAGAGTACGGTTTGCATTGCATGTCTTTGGTTTGTTTTCTTAAACTTAAGCTGTACTCTGTATATCAAGTTTATTTTTTATATATAATAATATGAAATTAATTCCATAGCGGAAGGATTTTTTCTGATTCTGTCCAAAGGCTCATGAATATTATAGGCAACCTGGCTAGACCTGCGAATCAAAGAAACTTAAGCTTACGTACATAAGCTTAGAAATATTCATACAAACATACGTAACCTTTCCTCGAATTTACGAGTAGCTATAACAGTTAATATTTCCTAGGAAACAACAACAAAAAGAAAACATGAATAGTAACTGACTTACTGACCTGACTGGCTCTTAGAAATTGTCATTTCTATGATGTCTGATTTACCTAACTTCTTCGTCGTGGACATGCATTTAACTGTAACTGTCCTATGAAAAAGAATCTGTTAGTAGATCTGAATCTAGTTACGGTTCATGAAGAGAAAACAAAAGAGTTCACTATCAAAATACAACTTTGAGTCTCAAAGTAAAACCGTGTCTGGCCCTCACTGTGGGCACTGAGGCCATATGCAAGTTAGATTAGTAGAGAGATGATGTGAACTGTGCAGTTCCTCAGTTCACATCATCTTCATGTTTCAATCCTTTCACGGGTTAAGATGAGCGCAACAAATTTGCCTGTTCCGGCCAATGTAGGAAGAACGCATACTTGAAACATCACGATTTCCTGAATTCCCAACAGGCAGGGAAAAAATCCCACATCCCATGCCTAATTTTTGGTGAATCCTGCTTCCCGGGTAGCAGTCAAATCCCATTTTCTGCCAAGATATTTAGCATTTTCCCGAATCCCTCACCTTATTTTGGTCAAATTGCGGATCCCAAAAATACCCTTCCAGACCCTGTGCAAATGCATCTGAGCTGATGAAAACTGGACTGTGTTCATATTGCAGATTGTATATTTGCTGGAGAACTACTACAGGATGAGAAAACTCTAGCCTCCTATGGAATCCAAGATGGATTTACTGTATATGTTGTGAAGAAATGGCCTGATCCAGAACTGTTAGGTATTAAGACCTTTTGGATGAATGAAAGTTTCTGGGAAACTGACCACCCACCCCTCCCCTAAGTCAACATAAACTTCCCACTTAGGGCAAACTGTTGGCCTAGGTGAGGGGTAGGTGGGCAGTATCCCAGAACCCTAAATTGATCCAATGTTTAAATTTAGTAAATAAATACAGTGGATCCTCACCCTCAGGACCAAGGCAAGTGTCCCATGAATGGAGGATGGACTGGGGTTTGTTAATAACCAACAAATACAATATTCTTCTTTTATTCTGCCTCAGAATCTGCTACAGCTACTATTTCAAGCAGCTCAATAATGTATTAAAAATTCATGATTAACTCATCTTTGGATATAATTTGTGTGTTGAATTCCCACAAGAACAGTAAATCAATTTAAGTGAGATAGTTCATGTTGTGAAAGCTGTCGTCATTGTGACTAGTGAACACTTTAACTTTTCGCTTTTTGTGGTCAGTCACTTTTTGAGTGTCCCTTTCCCCTGAATAGAGGTGTCTCTTCAGTAGAGGTAACAGATACCAAGACTATGAGGACATTTTTCCTGAAACAAATTTTGTGTGCCATAAATGGGTGTGTCCCTTTAATAGAGGTGTCTCAAAGGAGAGGTTCCACTGTATACCAGCTGCTGTCTGTTTTTGGGCTTTAAAATATAAAACCCTGCTAATTCTTTCTAATTATGAATATTAGATCTAGATCCTGATGATGTTCCTATTGCTGAGGTGATGCCGATACTGGAGGCAGCAATAAAAAGTCATTCGTATAGAAATACTGTAAGTTGATAGTTAACCCTTTCACCCTCAGAACTGTGGCCAAGGTCAAATTCAACAAAATTTCCATATTTCATTTTAGAAAGTTTTTGCAAAATGCTGGGAAATAAAATTAAAAGCATCACTGCACTCAAGCGAGGTTTCCAAACACCTGTTTTCATGTTTCTCTGATTGTAAATTTCTAATGTCAATCTTATCATACATAGAGGATATTACATGGCCACGTGGGGATACAGAATTTTTCTTCGAGTGTTGAAAAAAATTTCACGAGTGAGCGTAGCGAACGAGTGAAATATTTTCAACACAAGAAGAGAAATTTTGTATCTCCAAGCAGCCATGTAATGTTCTATTTATTATATAAACACCAATGAAATACCAAACCATTTCACTGAAACAGTTTTATCCTGCGAAAGGCGCAATATATTATGTAGCCATAGCAACAGTGATATTCTCACATGTGAAAATAACATGTTTTTGCGCGAAAGTTCACCTGGTATTTCATTGGTGTTTATATAATAAATAGAGGATATTACATAGCTGGTCAGAGATACCAAATTTCTCTTCGTGTGTTGCACGGACAAGTGAAATATTTTTTAACACGAGAAGAGAAATTTCGTATCTCTAAGTGGCCATGTAATGTTCTATTTAAGAGGTGCGATTTATTATGTAGCCATAGCAACGGTGATCTTTTCACATGTGAAAATACCATGATTATTTCACATGTGAATCGAAGGTGTCATATTTTTGAGCAAAAGCTCACCTGGTATTTCATTGGTGTTTATATGTACATAAATTAATATCTTTTATGTGCTGCTTTCAATAAGGGATGCTTGGATGGAAAGCATCAAGTGATCTCTTACCTAATAACTACTAGATTCTCCTTCCACACTGCCTTGTATTTGCTTATAAACAAAAGGAGTATTTGTGATTTCATCAAAAATCACTTATTGACCATGTCTTGTTCCACCCACCCCTTTTGTCAATAATATACCTGTATATTTTAGCAAAAATACAATTAAATGTATTGCTTTTCATAACTTTGTATAACTATTCTTTAGGTATCCAAAATTCTTACCAACCCAGACATGTTGGAACAATTGATTGTGACAACACCTGGACTGTCAGCAGATCCTGTTGCTATGAGTGAGTAACATGAGCTGATCAAGAGAGTTTCTTCTTTAGGCATTTTCACACAAAGTATATGCTGTAGAGTTGGGAAGTACAGTGACATAAGGACAAAATAGATGCTTTTCAACAGACAGACATTTACATGCATGATTTATATAAGAGCTCTGTGTCTATTTTCCTCTTAGCCCTTCTTCAAGATCCTGAGCTTCTTGAGCAACTTGTGGAAACAGCAAATGTTGAAACGTAAGTAGCACAACCTGCTGCATAATTACACAAACATTATCTTTGCAAAATATTGTCCAGTTAAAATTAAATAAGATGGAAAGTATCATGGATATGACAATTTCACTTTAGTATCTGGATTTATTCTGTATTTCATTGTATGTGTTACAGGTCAAAATTATATTCAGGTTAAAATTTTTCAACTTTGCTTGCCCTTGGTTGATTCTCAGTTTCCTTCATCTCCTATCCCTAATTATTTATCAGCCATACAAACATTTACAGAAAATAATAGTTACTCTTTTTTTTGGACACACCTGATCTTTAATTCTGCGGGACACCATGAATTGAGTGGTTCAGACCAAATTTCACAGTCTTATTTTTCTGTAACCTGATTGGTTTTAAGCCTACATGCACATGCAGCTGCCAGGCAAAGTACCAATTCACAGGGTTTTTCACAAGTTCTGACCCTGCAAAAAATGCCCTGTTCACAAGTTTTGAGATTTTCTACCCTATTCTTGGTTAGATTTCTTCTTGAATGCACATGCTCCAATACGGATGACATGGCATTATATAGTGTAGTATTGTTGTTACAACCTGAATCACATGCTGCCACAGTAAGGATGTGCAAAAAATGGTTGTGGAGAGGTCCTTGGTTTAAAATTTAAACCAAGGACCTCTCCACAACCATAATGCAAGTAAAGCAAAATACATTGTAGGGTGTTGGGATGGGGCTGTTATGTGTGGGGATATCTATCTTAGACAGATTTCATTAAAACACATTTATACTAATGGGAGGTTTGCATTCTTAATTTCAGAGTCATTCAAGAGCATCCCAGCCTGATACAAGCAGCCTCATACATTGCTGCGGCAATTGCCAAGGAAGGTGGGGAACGCCCTCCAAGTAGACGGAACCATCGTGCTGTGGTTGACGACTATGAATCTGATGAAGAGCTACAGGGAATGGAACCTGGGGTAAGAATTTATTTCCAGTTTATGAATTTAGTGCTTTGAACATCACAATGTAAGAACTCCAACTTACATTAACTCATGACAAACTTCCTCGACAATCAACTCCCTTTATTGCGGAAACTATGCACTGTAGCGACAGGTCTCGAGGTAGTGTCCTCATTAGGAAGAGTACGCAATAGCGAGAGTTTATTTCAGTCAGATGTCTGTACATGTAATTTGTTTTCACCGGGGATTTAGTTCCTGTCCGTTATAGATAGCGGGGTGTCTGTAAGGCAAGAGTTAACTGTATTTATTTTCTCTTATCCTGCTCGAAGTGCTTCAACAGGAGATATTTCAAACCTTCATTTTGAGGCACTGTTTTTGATATCATGTATAGATTATAATTTGGAACAAGTTAGTCCCCTGGCCTTCCCACAAGAATCTGAAAATGGTCTGATTGCTTAGTGTTCGCTGTTATACTACACTACCCAGAGTATAAGTCAAAGAACTTTTAGCGAACATGCATATGGACCCATTTTTTTAGAGAAATTGAATGCAATGCAAATTTCCTTCAAAAAGTACAATTTAAGCCAGGATTGTACTAGCCTCCCCGCAGACGTCCTTTGGGGTTCGTTTGTCACGCATTCATTTCTCCCTCCGTGGGGGAGAAATGAATGCGTGACAAACGAACCCCAAAGGACGTCTGCGGGGAGGCTAGGATTGTACTTCTTCTCAGAAAAGACCTTTTGTGGCTTGATTCTCATAAGAGACAACCTCCCATGCATGCAACCACTAAATCATCACATTTTGGGTGATTGCTCATGTGAAAATTGAATGTCTATGTTATTAATAAAAAATAATGTTTATCAATAAAGACATTAAATACTTTCTCATTTATCAACAACTGACAGCTAGTTGCCCAGGCAGAACTGGTCGCTGCAAATGAAGAACGTATTCAGTCATCAAGATCATCGTCATCATCATCAGGTCCATCATCAGGATCAGCTGCAGCACATCAACAAATTACATCATCTTTACTGTCGTCAGCGCTGGCCAGTGCTGGAATACCCCAGGCCTCTACATCTCGAAGTCACAGTAAGCCCTTTATTTTGCTATATTATTTATATGTCACACTGATTTTAAAGACTAGAGCTAAATTAAGGGGTGACGAGCCGTACACATGTACACACACTCATAATCAGACAGCAATCAACCTTTCAAACTGATGTACAAGTAGCAATTGTTGCCACCCTTATTAAGTGACCCAAGGGAGGCCATTGAAGGGGCTTCAACCGTAATAAACTGTGTTAAAAAAAGTAATACGTCAGTTCTGAGCTTGATTTGAACATTGTGTAATTTGAGAAGGGTGTTATCAACTAAAGGCGTTATTGGTTATTTACTGCCAAACTAAAGAAAATTAAGAAAACAACTATTTTAAATTATTTTTCTAGATCTTTCTTCTCCTGGTCCATCAACAAGCAGTGGCACTTCGACTTCTCGGCAGACAATCACAAGAGATATGGTTCGTGAAGCCATGGCATCTGCCAGAAGCGTGGCTCACACATCTTCTCAAATGCAGGTAGGTTTAAGAATAATTATAATGCTTACATGCATGAGAATGAATTAAACGAAATGCAATGGACACTGTACAAGCTTCTTGTATTATTTTGCCTTAGCTTTATCTTAAAAATGTACAATCATCTTGTATGCGGACAATGTTAGAACTCAGGGTTAGGCGACCCACTTAATCCAAGCCCTGACAGCCCCCACCCCCTCATTAACCCATCCTTCATTGTCTTCTCCACTATAAATTCAGTCAATAGTGTGTACTGAGTTAATCAACCCTTTCCAGTCTTCTCCACAGACAACCCAATCAGCCTACCCTATGGCTCTTTTTTTTGTGGGGCCAGTTTATAAATATTAATGTCAGACATTCAAGTAACCTTTGTTGTCCATCCCAGTAAAGGACTAACGGAAGGAATTTGGGGCTGTGAAAAAGCCATGAAAGTTTCCTGGTTTTGTGTTAATTCATATTTTATAGATGGTGCATTTATAGCAGTTAATCGGGATGCAAAAGGGGTACCGTTTGTCAATAGAAGGCATACAAAAGGGGTACCTTCTCGGACAGGGTTTGAAAAAATTCTTGTCCAGTAATCCGGGACAAGTGGATTTTCTTGCTGGGCAAGTAGCTTTTGAAGCTTACTTGCCCAATGGGCAAGGGTCCAAATAACTCATCCTCTAGCAGCTAATGAAATCTTTAACTGAGACAAGCAAAAAGTGGCCCTGGGCAAGTGAAATGTTAGAGCTGCTTGCCCAAAGGACAAGCTGGAATTCAAGTTTTTGTGGAGCCCTGCTTTTCTGTCAAAAATGGTGTATAAAAGGTTAAGGGGTTGGACCTCCCTCGGGGTGGACCCCTCCCCCACCTCCCATATAAAACTTTATTGAGTACCCCACAACCCTCTGGACCCCAGTCCTTTTCTCATAGGAAACCCACCTAACCAACAAACCTCTCCAACCTGCTCCACAGGCTACCCACTCAGTAATTTCCTGTTTTCTTTTTTCCCTTGATAGTCACAATTGCAGCAGCTGAGAGATATAGGTATCACTGATGATGCCCTTAGTCTTCAAGCCTTATCAGCCACTGGTGGTGATGTGCAAGCTGCTCTTGAGCTCATATTTGAAGGACTGTAAGCTGTGTTCTAAATAAATTAATGTAGTTATAGACACAGGGCATTTATTTGACTATGCATCTTTAGGACATTTTTTTTTTGAGTTAATTCGTTAATCTATGGCCTGTTACTGATTTCAATATAGTTGTTCTTTCAAAGCCCTTATTTATTTAGTTGGAAGGATCAAGTTTGTGAAACCCTGAAGTTGAAACATTACTGTCAGTTATTTCTGTATAAAATTTAAATACAATTTTAAGTGAACAAATTGTAAATTCAAACTACATTTTAATAACAAAAGAAAACACTTTTTAGTGGAAATACAGTATTAAATCATTTTACAATATGTCAATAACATGAGTTGATTATAATAAGTATTTTTTGGTACAGGCAGCTGGGTGTTTGTACCTTCCTTCTATCATTTTTTTCGTTTTCACTTTCATCCCTTCAACAATAATTCAACCAGAATACCCCATGAAGTGAGCCACTCCTTTTCTTCAAGAGGGGATTACTACATGTTATGGTAGTTACCTTTGGCACAGTCTGAGGTAACATGCAAAATATTTTCACCTCGTCTCTAGCTGATGATACAACTTACTACAGCTTAGGCCCTGTCCACACATATCCGGATATTGTTGAATCCACAACTTTTCTTTCCAGATGCGGCTTCCATCCACATGTATCTGGTGAATCTGGCACACAAATGTGTAAATTTTTTAATCCGCTCTCCAGAGTGGAAATTTTTGAATATGCTATTAATCTGGAATAGCATGGACACTAAATCCAGATATTTTTTTTAATCCGCTGATGTAACAAGATTGAGCCCAGTTCTTTACCGTGAATACTGTATTCAAGATGGCAACCTCATTCCCAGGTTCTCTCTCTTACCCGCTGAGGAGTCAACCTTGATCTTTGCATTTTTCTTTAATTTCTGGGTTGATTCTGCCATAATTCTAGATGCAAATTTTGCACACTTCACGATGCATGCTCTGTTGCCAATATTCCCAGAGGAGTTCTCGGTACTAGAGTGGATACAGATAAGTGTTGGATTCGTGTGAACAGGCAAATTCATTTTGAAATTTTTGAATCGGCAAAGAAAAATTGGCGGATTGAAAAATATTCAGATACATGTGGACGGGGGGCTAAGGCTTGCTGGCAAGTTGAGCTGCCAAAGTAAAATACTGAGCCACTGCAGAAGACTCGTAAAACTGCTGCTTGGGGCAGGAGGCCTTCGGTAGATCATGGTTCAATGACTGAAAATACATAAGGAGAAAATGGGAGAGGAAGCTTAAGGGTGGTGCAGTGTGAGGGCCTCAGCACTCTCCTCTTACCAACATAAATATGGCCAAGGTCTGAATCCTCAAGTTGGTTTCTCACCCTTGCTCTGAGCAGCCTGCGAGCAAACTCTCTGGGGTGTTCTGGCAGTGGGGTGGGAAAAGGAAGGAGAGCTGGCAACTGTCTCTGGAATTTGAATTCCACGTTCAATTCCCTTGTGGCTCCCTATCGACTGAGCTGTTAGATTTCTGCCAATCAGCACAAAGTGGAAATGAGCGTGAATGGAAACAAACATTGAAAAACAGGTGCCAAGGGCAATGACCTCATATTTACAAAATGTCATCTCTGCCAATCATAATGTTATTATGCATCCTCATAGAAAGGTGATTTACATCATCAGAATATTCTACTGTTTGTCGATCATATATAGACACCACCTTTGTTATTTTCTGTCTGTGGCAGCAGGGAGTTCATTGAGACATGACCACATTTTGTAGACTAAACCTAATGACTGACTGACTGATGATTTAAAATTTTATCAATGTTTTATTGTATTGTTGGTAGTGGAACCCCAGTCCATGTTGAACTAGTCCCATGGAATACCCATACGGACTACGCCACTCAAGTTTAGTGACTAGAGTTAGGAAACTGAGTGAAACAAGTTCCATTTAGGGTCATTAAACTGGGAAAACTAACCTGAAACTTTGTCCACCACTTGTATTGTTGACTAACTTTGTAATACCACGTCCAGGGTTGCAATCATTATAATGGTTATTATCTGTTTTTCCCAGTCAATAATGTATTCACTAACTTTGAAATTATATTTTTTAATTTAAACAGTGGGTAAAAACTAGTTAATAGACATAAATACTGGACTTTAAGCCCGCTAACTAAAGTACACGTCCCTGTGAGTGAAATAAGCCCCTTAACAACATAATGCTGCTTAACAGGCATGAAATGTTCCTACAATATATAACTCTTAAACAAAATAATAACATAAATAATGCTTATAACAAGGAAATAAAAACCATCTGAGATAGTTACATACTAGACTGCAAAACAGTCGGGTTTTTTTCTCAAAATCAGTAAAGAAATTGTTTAACTGCTTGTGCGTACTTGAATATGCAAAAATACGGACTGTTTAGCAGTCTAGTTACATACCTCCTTTAGAGTACATTAAAGTACTTAGTACTTACTTAATAATTCGGAAAAATGTTATAATTTGTGCTCTAGACGAATGTTTGTAAAAGTAACGTGCAACCTACGGACATGCCACTAATACATCTAATAATTTTTAATAATGATTATCAGTGAATAGTTTAACTTTTAATTTTATTGTAATGTACCATCATATGTATTGATTGGTTTTGATTGTAATTTATTCTTATTTAAAAAAGTTTTGTTTCTATCATTCAACCTTTACTTCTAATTACAGGTTGTCATATTCACAAATTTAAAAGTTTTTAACACTGCTCAACCTATTTTTATCAAGGATTCAAATTTCTAACTCTGACAGATGCATGAAAACGTTTGTTGGGCTTCATATTTCCTTCCTGGCTCCAGAAGGAATGGCTTGCTAACATAGCCTGCTTCTACACACAGCATTTGTGGATACTATAACAAAAAGAGACAAACTTTCTTTGAGTGTGATTGTATAGGTCACTGCAAAAAGTATGATGATGGTCAGTATGTGCTGTTTTAGGTAGAGCTGCACGAAAGCTAGACTATTTGATCTTCTTTGTTTGTACACCCCATTTATCAGCTTCTCCACAATTTCCATACTTAGCTGTGGAGGGCAATGTGAAGTAAGCGAGAGGGAAAAAACTAACAAGGAAGAGAGGAAGAGGAGGAGAATTCCTTTGCTCTCACCCAATACCTCAGCCCCTGGCTGTTTCTCCTGCTGGCATCTCTTTGAGCCTTCCCCACAATCTGAATGCCTGGAACAGGCTAATGGGGTATAGAAAATTATTCCTCAAGCACCAGCTTGAGCTATAACAACTTGTTATGTAGCTTTTTCTTTGAATATTAGCTGGGACATCCTAATGCATTTCATGTTTAGTTAGAGACATTAACTATCCTTCCAAAGTGTTTAGCTGTGTGCATGTACATGTTGCTCCTTAAGATGTTACTTGTAGAAAAACATAAAAGTAATAATTATGCAATGTACAGACCTCTTCATCTCCAAAATCAGACATTGTCATGGCCTTGTGAGCCCAAGGATTCCAAACAACTAAAAGAAACAAAAGAATAAAACATTTACTCGGCCCTGTAGATTCACTAGGCAATTTTTCTTACAACTTAAAAGTCCTAAGGGCTGGCCTCATAATTCTAGATTACCAGATGATGAAAAGATAAATTCAGATGGTATGTACAGTGTTATCTTCAAGTGCTCAATTCTTTATGGAAAATTTTTTTAAATCTGGTATGGATTTTTGTTTGAAGGCAGGGCGGGGGAACCTTTTTTGGGACCTTTCATTGTAGGAAGCCCAAGGGTTTTGTTTGATGGGTTTTGATTTTGGCCCTTTTTCCATCATCACTTTAAATCCAGAGAACCCTCTTGGATTTGTGTTATCTTTCATGGCCAGTTCAGTAGGGCACAGTTCTGTCCTTTTTATAATCACCCATCACCATGCATTCATGATTGAGGCACCATGGTGGAAGAAAAAAATAAATAAATAAACAGTTAGATAAAGTGCTTTACCTGTGTCTGGTAAATTCTCTTTCCAAAGAATAATGTCACAATTTTCAGATCCAACATTTGTTATCTTATGTTCACTAGGAGAATTTTCATAAACCCTACGAAAAGACACATATTTATTTACTAAATGAATAATAATTTATTCATCATCACTTTATTTTTTTGCTAAGAAAATAGCAAAAGCTAAAAATTACATACCTGTCTGTGTAGCTCTTGACTATTACAGGATCAGCATCCTCAGTGTATGTGTTCCCACCAAGAACCTATCAAAAAGAAAGAAGAAAAAATACCATATTTATTTGATTAGGCACCCTGGGCACTTATGAAATATTTGGGCCTTGAGAGTGGGCACTTATTTAATTTTCATTATTTTCAACAAAACAGTAAATAATAATATTACAAAATATGAAGAAGTGCCAGATTAGAATTTTAACTGTCTATTGAAAGATTATTTTAGAACTCGGTCCTCAGGGAAGTCTCTTCGTAGTACCTACTGTAGTCAATTTCTACGTTATACACTTATTCGAGGCTGGGTACCGGTACTTATTAACTTTCCGTCCCTACAGGATGGGTGCTTATTCAAGACGGGTGCTAATTCGAGGTTGAGTGGTTAATTGAATAAATATGGTATCATGATGCAACATCTGAAACCGACAGATAAACTGTTAGAAATTTACCCGTTAAATTATACCATTGAAGTAGTTTTAGGAGCAAAGTAGCATCAAAGCTTTTTATTCAGTTTAAATTCCTTTGTTAGGAGTACAAGTTAAGTGTTTGTCATAATACGTCAACACGAGCTAGAACTGGCCAAAAATGCCAGTCCAGTGGATGTGCTCCCAGTGGCAGACAGCTAGGGGAGCTGCAGAGGAGAAGTGACAGTCATCTGCAACATTTGTGGACACAGAGCCTGGCACACTAAGGACAGAGACAGAAGGATAAGACAACACCTGGGTGCATAGAGGATCCTGAGAGAAGAAGAAGAAGGAGAGTATGTCTTCTCAATGTGGCAGAGTGAGATGCAGCAGATCAAGAAGGCTGAAGAGTTTCACATTATCACATTATCTTTTTTTTCTTGAATAAAATTCAACCAGTCTCTAAAAATCACAAAAGAGTAAGCCAAAAGTTTTGGATGCCTTGCAAAAATAAACCAGTGTACGTGTACCTTGTCTACATAAGTTAACCCAGTCAATCCAGAAACTGTTGTTTTTGTAACATCTGGAACTCTAAAATATGTGTGCAAAAGCGTGGTAAACTCAAAGGGCTTCTCATCTGTGAAACAAACAAAAACGATT